TTTCCAACCCACAGGTACTTTTTTTTCTAAAAAATAATCTGCCAAATTAATTAATATATTAGAAATGAATACAGCTCAAGGGGAAGGGCAGGGGTTGTGCTTAATAAATATTTGTGTTTAAGCTTCAGTGACAAAGACTCATTTCTGTTATTTTTTTGGCCAGCCTGCCTGCTCTGCCAACACCAGAGCTGATGCTGGTGGGCAGTGGTCTGTGGTGCAGACATCGTGAGGTGCTGTGGAGGCTCAGAGATAGCCCCACAGATGAGAGCAGACAAACAGCCCTGCAGTGGCCAAGGAAAGAGCAGCTTTTCTCAGCCCGAGCCCTCCTCCAGGAACAGGGCCCAGCTTTTCCTTTCAGGCCATGCCTGGGGGCTCCGGTTCAGCCCCATCTTGGTGCCTTCTCGGCGCCTGGCACAAAAGCTGTGTCTTGCTTCCCTGGCAGCAGCTGCCAGAGCAAAAGGGCAGCGAGTGCTGCACAAAGCCCTGGCATCGGCCCTTGCTGGATACTCACAAAGCAGCGGGCAGCAGCGCTTGCTCATTCCAACGCAGCAGGCGTGAGGAGGCTGTTAGACTTCATTAGAAAATGGGCTCGAGAGCAGCAGATTTTGGATCCTGGCCCCTGTGAGGATAAAGCCAAGTCACAGCTGGTCTTCCCAGGCCTGGCTAACTTGTGCTGGCCACTGCTAGTCTTGATCAAAGACTAATGAAGAGCCACCAGCTCGTTCTCATCAGGTGTTCTCAGGCCTCTCAGTGCCTGGAAGTCTTGTGTGGGACTTGCAGACAGAACTGTTCCCCTCGGTACATAAAGTACAGGAGCAGGTGAAATCCCTGTGAGTCAGTGAGGAGGTCTTACCTGTGGCCTCTCCCTGTTCACAGCAGCTGGGGAAGGGATATGATCTCCAGTAAATGTCTTCTCTCAGATCACCTATGAAAGAGAGAGAGCTCCTGTGAGGAGGTGGCAGTGGCTACAATTGAATTGCCAGAGCAGCTCACGGCCTGCAATGGCTGCAGTGCTGCTGTACCCTGCAGTAGCAGAAACAGCAGTGCCCCGGTGCCCAATGCCAGCCCCCACTCTCCACCAAAACCCTGGGCCAGCAGAGCCCACTCCCAGGTAGGGAAGTGCTGACACCTGCCTGACAGGCACAGGATTGCCAGGGACTGTGCAGTGCTAGCACCGGCAAACGCGGCTCAGCTTTGGGTTGTGGAGTGCTGCTGCAGCAGCTGTGAAGTGTGAGTTACCACAGCACAGGGTGCTGACCCTGCTGCGGATCTGGAGATGCAGACAACCTCTAAAAAAAAAAACAACAACAAACAAACCCCAAACAAAACAACAGAAACACAAGATACTGATCTGTCCTACACATGCCCTAGGAGGCACTTGCAAGACAGGGCTGATGTCAGGCCTGTGGGCATTTTTGAGTTGCTCATTTGCCAAGTCAGGTCAGGGCTGAGCCTCCACACATACCTCAGCCCTCCCCAGAGCCTCGCGCTGTCACTGCTGCAGCCATCACTGCTTCTCATCCGCCTGGAAAGGCTCCCAGCCTGCAGGCAGGGCTGCGCTGGCCCACAGCCCCCAGGCACTGTAAATTTCAGTCTGGAGCCGGACAGCTTTCGGCAGCTTTCCATAGCAACCTCTAGGCCAGGACACAGCTGTGGGCTATGTTAACTCCTGCACAGCTTTGCAGCAAAGCAGGGCCCATCCCTGCACTGAATATCCCACCCCAGGGACACGGCACAGATGTGTGCACGCAGGGTTTTGAGTGCAGGGGCTCACTTACCCTTGCTGTGCCTCTCTGCCTACACCACAGTAGGACCTGGAGGCCCAGAACCCACCTATTAGACCCTACACAAGCGGAACAAATAAGCAGTGATTCATTTCACAACTCAGCACTCCCAGCACTCCCTCCTCACTGCCTGCACCAATGCTACAGGAAAAGACAGGTACCTGCTCAGTCACCACTTCAGTGAGAGACAAACTCCTCTCCCCCAGAGAGGCTCCCCTGTGGCTCCTTGGTGCAGCTCATCCAGGTGAGGCAGGGTTAGGACACATGGTCCCATGCAGCTCACACACCACTTTTGTGAACTCTGGTAGCAAAAAAAAAAAAGGCAACAGGAGGTTATGTCTGGTAGCTGCAGCACCACCAGCCTCCCTCCCATCATCACTCACTTTCCAGCCTCACAGGGCCCCAGCTCAGCCACCTTCAACCACTGCCTTCCCAGTGAGCACGGGCCACAGCACCAGTAACCCCTGCAGCTGACAGACGTGACCCAGCAGAGTCCCCCAACTGGACGGATTAATGCTGCAGTTTGGCTGCACTACAAAAGGAGGATTTGCTCAAAGAGGCAGAAAACAAGAGGCAAATTAGTCACCATTTTGCAGAAAACCCCTTGTGGGACAGGGTCGAGGAGCAGGATCCAGCCCTTAGCAGCTGCAGTGGAAGGCTTTGCGCAGTGTGCAAGTGGCTTTAAGTTTTCCACCCATCCTGCAAGTGCTGATTTCTTCACCCTTGAAATCGCCCCCTCTCCTCTGCACCACAAAGACTTACTTGGGTGGCTGCACCGTCCGTCGTTCTGCTCTGTCGCACCAGGCCTTCACAGCACATTTCTCCCATCTTGACACACCTCCAGTTCAGAATTCCTGCTGCTGCTTCCCACTGCTTCTCTTCTTCCCTCGTCTTTGGCTAAAGCAAGGTTTGCTGGGCTCCTGCTAGACAAAGTGTGCTCGCCCCTGTCCCCTTTCAAGAACAGACACCTCCCTGCAACGCATTTTTCAGAACCAGCCCTTCAAAAGAGAGCACAAAATTCTGCAATCTCTTAGCAGCCAAACCTCCAGTGTTACATGCAAATTCCCTCACCCCTCTCCCTGTCCAGCTGAAAGCCCCACGTTTTCTCAGCGCAGCAGGAAACACACAAACACACACAGACACATACACTCACACTCACACACACACACACACATATATATCCCCCCCTCCATCCCCAGCTCTGGGTGCTGCAGAGCCAGGCACACTGTCCTGCCCCTAAAGCTCCTGGGGCCAGGGGACACTGGACTGAGGAAATACTAACACCCAGGAACAGCCAAAAGGACAGACTTTGCTAGCTTTTACTGTAACGCAGCACAGACTGGCAGCACCTTTCTGTAGCTGGGCACAGGGACAGGTAAGAAAGGTAAGGAAAGCAGTATTTTAAAAAGTCAGTTGTAAATGAGCTGTTCCCAAGGCAACGCAGATGCTGTGACAGCTGCTCTGTTCCACCCATCAAAGGCATCAGCACCATGGAAGCAAAATGCTGATATTTTTTTTTCAGGTAAAAAGGTAATAAAATAACCACTCTCTGAGCAGAGCACCAATGTGTCAGCGACTCAGCAGGGTGAGCACACAGCCACGCTCCAAGATGCCAGACTCGTGTTTCTTAACTAACACCTGGATCGCTCTGGCATCCAGTTGTTTCAGAGCTGCATTTCACCACAATCTGGACACACCAGCAAAAGGATGAAGCTCCTGCCCCTCCACACTGTCTCATCACTCTGAACTTACTTATGCACCAACAGGAAAACACAACTGCTGTCCTGTTGCTCTGATTCAATGCAACACGTGTAAAATTACTAGGAATACTTCAGAAGAATGAAGTAAACTCATTAACACATGCAATGCCCTCACTTAAGGCTGATTAAGAACTGCGAGCACCTGGACACACTTGGCTGAAAGAACTGGGTTTGTTCAGCCCAGAGGCACAAAGGCCAAGAGGGATTTTACTGCTTTCTGTAGACAGGGCACAGAGAACAGAGCCAGGGTCTCCTCAGAAGTGCACAGTGGTTGGAGAGAAGGTAACAAGTGCAAGCTGAAACACGGGAGATTTCAGTTCAGTGCAGTGGTTTTTTTTTTCACTGTGGGATTGTCCAAACACCAGAACAGGGGTGCAAAGAGGCTGTGGGATCTCCAACCTCAGAGATACTCAAGCATCCTCCCTGAACATCCTGCTCTGAGCAAGGGGGCTGGACAAGAAACCTCCAGAGGTCTCTTCCAACCTGAATTACTCTTTGATTGCAAGTTTAAAACCATAAGAAAGCAGACACTTCACGGTACTCCAGGCTAAAGGACCTCAAGAGAAGTTAAACTTTCCTGCAGGCAGAGGAAGCAAGCCCTAACAAAGCCACTGACCACCTCGCTGCCTGATTCATCACTACCTGAGTGTTACATGCTTGCAAACACCTGCATTTTTCATTTACTAAATCATTATTTTTTTCTTCTAACTGATCTTAACATGCAGCAGTAGCGTTAATAAGCACCTCAATATCTGTCAAGTAACTCTGAGACAAGTTTCCATGTGCTCCACTGACCTCCAACGTGCTTCACAAACATTCATTTTGCCTTCACACCCATCCTCCCCCTCACCACCACAGAAGTTGCACAACCCCAATGCCAGGGAGCCGCTCGCAACTCATCGCCCTGAGTTGGGTTCCCAAACGCAGGGGCCAAAGCTCCCACAGACACAGAAGATGTTCAGCCCTGATGCGAGGGGCACAGAAGTGAAACTCTGGAAGATGGAACGGAAAAGAATAAAGTGGCACGTAAGGGACTGCAGGCAGGGTGAAGGATCACAGATGTTCTGCTCCCTGTTCTGCTCAGCTGCTTCCCTGCAACACCTGGGCAGCCCAGGAGACATCCCTAAAGCCTCCAGTCGCAGCTGTGCCTCGCTAGGCCAAAGCACCCGAGAGCACACAGAATTAACAGCTCCCTTCTCTGCAGAGAACAAAGCTGAGCTACTGACACTGCTGAAGCTCTCAGACTCACTTTACAGCCAGCAGAACAAGTACCGGGTAAAACAGCCGTGCTGCGTCTCTAAAAACATCAGTTTGGTCAAAGGCAAACCCACACAAGACAAAGGGATGCAACAGAGAAAGTCCAACACCCCAGTTTATTTTAAACGCAGACTGCTGAAATCCGAGAACGACGGCTGACAGTCTCTTGCCATCAGCAGAACGACACAAATCCCACTCGTCAGGTCTGCCCCTTGCCACCAGTCTCTGAGGGGGCTTCCCCACCTTCACCCTCCGTGGGCTGAGCTGGAGAGCTGGTGTCTGCTGAGCTTTCCAGAAGCAGCTCCAAGGCTTCCTCACCAGCCACACGTCTCACCTTCTCCCCCTTGGCTGCCAGGATTTCTTCAATATTCCTTAAAAACGATTTAAAACCAACAGTGACACCACAGCAAAGGCCAGACCCAAGAGTCAAGCACAGCCTCGCTCTTCCACACTTTGCTCTCAGGATTTTTTGCTATGCAGTAAATCACACGTGAGCATCACCACGGTGTTTCTCCATAAAGAGTTTGGGAAGCAGATAAATGCACCCAAACCTTCTGGGCTATTTTCATCCATTAGGATCAATAATTCAGCAGTTACAGCAAAACAGACATCTTTAAAGGTAGCTCAGGAAGTTACAAATAATCGAAATTCAGCAGCAGATGGGTCTACGTGTTTGAAACGCTCAGCCAGGGACACAGCCCGAGGGAGAGCAGGAGAACCCCACACACGGCGAGTCACCCGCTAGCACCACCGAGGCTGGCTGTGATCACACAGCTCCTGTTGCAGCTTTACGCCATTTATTTGGCTCCTAGGTAGTGATGGTCAAATTACAGATTAAAAAGCTGTTTGTGTGCTTTAAGAAACCAGATGAAACAGCAAAACTTTGCCTTTCTCTGAACCACGTTTTGAAAGAAATGGCAGGTCTGCTTAGGGGGTGCAGGTACAACCCAGCAGCCCTTCCCCTCGCAAAGGAAGAGCCCCCCTACCCACACCTACCGCTTTCCTTCCAGATCTGAGAACCAGCCCAGGTTATCGGCGATGACGTGGTGGTTCCCGCAGCCGGGACACTTCACTATCACCACCCCGTTATGGTAGGCTAACTTGGAAATCGTTTTCGCTGATCGGGTCTGGCAGACCTACAAACAAAATGGATTTGATTAATGCGGTAACTGCAGCTTCTGGGCCTTTTAAGGGAAAACCGCTTTATTTACCTGATTAAAAGCTTTCTTTTCCCCTCCCTCATCTTTATTGCAAGGCTGCCTGGCCTGTACCAACAGGCT